AAGGAAAGATAAGGAGTATGTGGGATGATTGGTGGAAACCGCCGACACGAAAACCTGTTTGGATTTTCGCACCCAAACTTTACCTCTTTGGCAAGAAAGGCCTATAGGAAAATGAATCTAGCACAAATACAGATGTTTGTACTAGTCGTAATTAGTAGTAATAATACACTGCTAAAGATCTTTAAGAAAAAAGACGATCATGAATGAGCATCGTATTTGGGGACCAGGATCACGCTGTATGGAAAAACCTGTGTGATGAGCTCTTCCGTCCATCCCAGGAATGGAACACTTCCCAAGGAAAAAAAAGAAGCGCAACATCAGCGGGTATGAGATAAGGGACACAGCATCCCTTGGATATGCCAAAGGGAGCTATCCGTCGTCATTTGCAGAGGCGAATGGCCATATCCCCTGACTATTGTTTTTCTCTTTCCTAGTAGAATAATAAGCTTCAAAAGGCCATAATGAGCTGTTCTTCGGAACATCCGTCAAGATGGGAACGATGCAGAGAAGTGCGGCATGGACCCTGTGCATTATTCAACCGACAAAACTATTCCAGTATGTTATTTGATATGTGTTCTCGTAGTGCCGACGGGGCAAAATGCCGTGAGCAGTAGTACTTGGACCTCAACACGCCTTTTCTGGATTACCACCCTCTTTACGCGAGTAGCACGCCCTCTCGTTATCACTGTATCTAGACTGCTTGGCCCAAATACAGCTCTACTGACGGGGCGTTCTATTCGGCTGAGAGCGGTAGCGTTATCCGTTACGGAAACTGGCGAGGAAGGCTCTGGGGTAAGGAGCTCCAAACCTTCGAGCGATCATGTGTCATACTGTGTATGCGAACATGGAAGAAAAGCTCCACGTCTTGTTTGAGCAGAAGAGAGGAAGCTGAACACTGGTCCCACCAATTTCTCCGTGCCTCTGAAAAAGCGTTATTGTTCTGCAATTCTCATTCGGGACGACCGTCAAAATTGGAACGATACAGAGTAGAGCAGCATGGGCCCTGCCTCTCTTCTGGATGGCACGCAGAACTTGAGTTGTTCGGTCACTTCGGTGGCCTCTGCCATTTAAAAAATTTAGAGGAAAAAAGAAAGGAGAGTACAGTATGGATTCTGCTACTTTGAGCAGAGACGAGGATCATCAACTACTGCACCAATTGCAGTGTTTCTTACTGGATGCTGTAGTTTTGAGTATACGTAAAGATATGCAAAAAGCTACAGCATCAGTTCCGGCACTCCAATCGAATTGGCTCCGGATGCATGTCAGTATGATGATTTTTAGTTATGCTGCTCTATTGTCAGGATCCTTACCATCAATTGCATTCATTGACTTAGGGCCAGATCCCATTGGCAAAGAGGATTGGAATGAGTGTCTGAATCTGGACGTGTTTGTGGCGAGGTGCAGAAAACTGTGATTGGTCTGCTTTTCTGCATCTCTGGGTGGAACACGTCCAGATTCAGACACTTACTCCAATCGTCCTTGCCAGTGGGATCTTACCCTTAGATACACTGAACGGCCTGTTTGATCAGACGAAAATGTGGATCGGAAAATGGGCCGATCGATCGATCTCGATAGATAGGCCTATCCATCAGTACATTAAGAGAGAGAGAGAGAGAGAGAGAGAGAGAGAGAGAGAGAGAGAGAGAGAGAGAGAGAGAGAGAGAGAGAGAGAAGATTGATGACTGTGTCGCTTAGGTGTTAAGTGAGGAATTGTGTGATACAGTGTATCGTCGTCGTAAGCGCAATTCTGCCGGACCATTTTTCGCGAAAGGGAATATTGTCGTCGTAAGCGAGAGGGAATATAGCGAGAGCGAGGATGTGGGGGGAGGAGTGGGGGAAAGAGAAAGAGAAACGGTACAGACTGAAGGAGGACGAGAAGATGAAGGGGAAAGAGGAGCAAGAGTAGGAGATCTATGTATCCCCCGCAGGCTCGGAGGGCGGCCATGTTCATGACCGCGTCCGCGGCCAGGGTCGTCCACGTTTTTCACGGATTTTTCCGTCGATAATAATAGGCAAAAGAAACAAAAAAAAAGGAGGGTTGTAGAACCCCATATTTTTTTTAAAGGAAACAATATGGAAATACAAAAAATGAAACA